AACCCCCTTCCCCTCCCCCATTTCTGAAGAAGGGTCTAGGCCCAAAACGTCAGCCTTCCTGCTCCTCTGATGCTGCTTGGCCTGCTGTGTTCATCCAGCTCTACACCTTGTTATCTCAGATTTCCAGCATCTGCAGTTCCTACTGTCTCTGAAACAAGTTGTTGGGGTATGTCTATCCAGGATAACTGTTGCATTTTACATTATGCTAATGTTGTGAGCACCGTGTCTGAAATGTGGGTTTTGTGATTTCAGTGTTTTACTTGGCTAATGTACCCAGCATCACTTGCTCTTTGGCCAAGTTAGCAATCTATCTGTGTTTTAGCAGCCTTGTAGCTGCTACAAAGTGTATTGCTTAACATAATTGTTAAAATTAATAAATTGTCTTATTTATGTTTCGGTTACAAGTGAAATGAACCACGCTGTTTATATATTCCTTAAGTTGGAACCTATATGTTCTGGAGAAAGAAATCCCGGACCCTTTAAATATCTATAACATTTACAGCATAGCTAAAGCTCATTAAAATTAACTTGGAGTTAAGTAAAATTTTCTGGCAGCTTCTTCTCATGTGAGATGTGAAGTTGGAATTCAGCAGACATAAATTTTCAGGGAAATATTCCTGATCTGAATTAGCTCTCAGTAAGAGTCAAAAACTAGAAGTCACTTCAATTAAGCATGTTAGGACACCAGCAAATTCACAAGTGGTTGCAATGGTAAGAGTCTAATGTTATTGCTGCTTTTCATCACTTCCAAATTCATTCCCCCTTCATATCACACTTACACACACATACCACAGTAAAACATCCCAATGGGACATTTCATCTAAAACTCCAGAGCCACATGTGGAGATATTAGGACAGATGGAAAAAAGCATGATTAAAAATTTTAAGGGACATCTTATGGAGAGAGAGATGAAGAGATGGAGTGTTTTAGGAAGGGAACTACACAGCAGAGACTTCAAAGTACAGCCACGAATAGTGCAGCAATCAATATTCGAATTGTGCAAAAGGTCAGGGTTAGAAAAGGAGCTTAGACTGCTGTGTAGCTGGAAAAGTTCTGAAAGATAACAACAGGATAGCACTTTGCAGGAACTGAAAGCAGGAGTGATAATAATGCATTTCAGATGTTGCTGGGAGCCTCTGTACTCCAGAGCATAGGAGTGAGATGTGAATGTGGTCTGTGTTAAGACATGAGCACAGAACATGGAATGAGCTTGAGAAAATGGAGGAGCAAATCTGAGACGCTGGCTAGGAGTGCATTAAGATTGTTCCTTTTAGACTGGACTAAGCCACAGGGAAATGTTTGAAGCAGTAAATCAACTGACTTAGGGTCAGAGTTGGCTTATGGCATGAAGGTGGAAATGGTAGGTCATTATTGAATCAAGGCTTTAAAAAGTGTGGTTTATTATTTGACAGTTGCCAAGAAGGATGGAGTCAGTAACTCAGGAATCAAATTTGGAGCAGTGACCATAATCAATAGCATTACTCTCCCCCACATTTAATTGGAAGAAATTTCTGCCAGTGTGGTATTAAATGTGGTGTTTAATATTTTAACAGTGGAGGAGTCAAGAGAAAAAGTGGTATCATCAGCATCCCTGTGAAATCTGATAGTTTTCAAATGATATCTTTAAGTGGAAACATATGGGTGAGAAATAAGAGGGAGTCAAGGATACATCTTCAGCGACACCCACAGTAACCGTGCAAAAGCAGGAAGAGAAGACATTGCAGATGATACTCTGGCTGAAATCTGATCAATAAGCAAGGAACCAGAAGAGTGCTGCTCCACCCAGCTGGACAACAGAGGTTGCAAGATGATCATGTATCAAAGAATGCAGACAGACCAAGAAGCACAAGGAGAGATTATTCCTCTTTCTACAGTCACACTGGATGTCATTTGGGACTTTGCTAAAACTTTTGCTATTGTTATAGGGCAGATATCCGACTGGAAGGATTTAAACAGTGGTTCAAAGTGAGAACGGATTTGGAAAGTGGCAAACTGTTCTGATTTTGGAGGTTAGAGACGGGATGGAAATTAACAAGAACAGTGGAGCCATGTATTGGTTTTTTTTGAGACGAATATTGATAATGGCACATTTGAAGTAAAACTGAACAGAAGAAAACATTAACAACATCACCCAGCATGTGGAATTTTGGGTGTCAGTCATGAGATTAGGACTGAGGAAAGAAAAGGTGGATCCCATGGACAAGATGAGCAAGAAACTGAAGGACGTCAGGCTAATGTTCAGTTAAGATGGGACTCCGAAGCAGTTTCACCCAGTGGGCTAGTAGAAGGGAGGAAGAATCTGATCAGATTGTCTCAATCTTAATGACAAAGAAACTCCACAAGCTCCATGTTATTGGAGGCAAGAAAGGAGGAAACAGTGGAGACAGCGAGCCCATTAAAAGGCACTAACTTATGGTACAGGTATTAAAAAGATTCAACACATGGCATTTAACACAAAATTACTTTATTTTACTTATATGCAGAATACTAACACCTATAACTGGACTGGGGTTTATTAACATCAGCAAAAACAGATCCCAATAAACACAGTTCATTCCAGGATGCAACTATCAGCAAAATCATTGCAGCTTCTTGTGGACTCGCTGGTGTTTCAGCAGGTGGGATGATGTAGTAAATCTCTTCCCACATTCGGAGCAATTGAACGGCTTCTCTCCAGTGTGAATTCGCTGATGAATTAGCAAGTCAGATGATTGAGTGAATCCCTTCCCACACTCAGAGCAGGTAAATGGTCTCTCCCTAGTGTGAACTCGCTGGTGTGTAAAGAGCTGGTTTGACTGACTGAATCCCTTTCCACACTCAGAGCAGGTGAATGGCCTCTCTCCAGTGTGAACTCGCTGGTGTATATTGAGTTCAGATGACAGCCAGAACCCAGTTCCACATTGAGAGCACCTGAAGGGTCTCTCATCAGTGTGAACACGTTGATGGGACATCAATTCCCCAGAGCTTTTATAGCACTTTTCACAATCTGGGCATTTATAAGGTCTCTCTCCAGTGTGAACTCTCTCATGTCTTAGCACATGGGATAACTGAGTAAACCCCTTCCCACACATGGAGCAGATGAATGGCCGTACCCCAGTGTGAATTCGCTGATGCACCGTGAGTTGGAATGATCCCCTGAACCCAGTCCCACAGTGAGAACACCTGAACGGTCTCTCATTTGTATGAACACGATAATGAGACTTCAGGTCCCCAGAACTTTTATAGCATTTGTCACAATCTGGGCACTTAAAAGGTCTTTCCCCACTGTGCACTCGCTGGTGTGCCATCAGCTGAGATAATCGAGCGAATCCCTTCCCACATATAGAGCAGGTTAATGGCCTCTCCCCTGTGTGAGTGTATTGATGAGTGCCCAGCTCAGATTGGTAACTGAGTCTCTCCTCACTGACACCACACTTCAACAGCTGCTCCTCAGTGTTACTGCACTGGTGAACAGTGCTATTTTCTTCCATGTTCAAAACTCTATGGTATTTAAGGTTACGTTCAATTGAATGACTCTGAAATATCTTGATGGGATGTTTGATTCAAGTTGCCCAACTGCAAATTCTCCCTGTTCAAAATCCTGTGAAATTAACATAACAGAAAGAAAGAAAGAATGAGAGAGAACCCACCAAAACACAAGGGCGTATTGTGAAAAGGAGCTGAATGAATCTGACAGGTTGTGGGGCTGGCACTCGGAAAAAGGAAAATCATTATGGAAGTTGCTTTTCAGAAAAAGAAACACAACTCTATTGAGTGACAGCACCTGAAAGCGAATGTGAACACCATCACCTCCAAGTCACACAGCATCCTGACATGTCTGACATCCAGTACTGGATTAGCAGACAGACATTCTCCACATGTAAACATTGGGAAGATCAAAGTCAATGAAAGTTTCAGTCTCAGTGACAAACACCATTTCTGAGCAACCAACTCCATCCTTCTCTCTGGTAACTGTCTGAGGCTGACCTAGACTGTTCACATTAACGCGAAATACTTCACCCTGCAATGAGTATTCAAGCACAGATCCCCATTGTCACCAGGACCGCCTATTTTCATCTCAGTAACATTGCCTGATTCCACCCTTATTTCAGCTCATCTACTGCTGAAACCCTTATCCACTTCTTTGTTACCTACAAATTTAACTATCTTAACATGCTCCTGGGCCAGCCTCCCAAACAACGTTTAACTTTTAGCTTATCCAAAACTCTGCCGCCTGAAGGTTTCCTTGCACCAAGACTTGAGAAAATGTTCAAGTGCTTGTTCTCATTCTCCTACATATCTGTGATCATCCTCATCTCTGTAATTTCCTCCAGCCGCACAACGCTCTGAGGCCTTTGCATTCATAGAAATCCAGCATCTACAGCATTCCTGATTTTAGTCTCACCATTTTAGGTGGCTGTTCTTTCAAGTGACTGGATTTCAAGCTCTGGAATTTTGTCCTTGAAGCTTTCCATCTCACTTTCTTTTAAGATACTCATGAAAATCCCAGTCTGAACAAACCTTTAGTCTCCTGCCTTAAAACTTCCTTACATGGCTTGGGGTCAAATACTGCTTTGTAAAATTCATGTGAAATGCCTTGGACCATTAAAAGTGTGATAAAAATACAAAGTAATGTTGTTGACCTGCTGTTCCTTCATCTTAATAATAATCCTGTAATTCCTTACCCTACAGCAGTGTGGCAGCACCCTCACTACACGGATTGCAGCGACTCAAGAAGATCAAATCATCTTCTCCATGAGTAACAGTGGCTGGGCAATATCTGCTGGTAACTGTGGAGAGAGAAACAAGATTAACACTTCAAGTGCAGAATGAATTACAGGAAATAAAAATGGTGCAGAATTTGGTGGCCAATATTAGCTCAGAAACAGAGAGAAATGGAATATAGTGCAGCCAAAACAATTCCTGACCATGAAATATACAAGTCTGAAGCAATGTATTTTGTGAGCTCAAATGCGAGAGGAAAGTATACAGTAAATTTCATTTGATTTGAGGATCTTGGAGTACAAGTCCATAGTTCGCTGATGTTAAGATCAGGGATGAGTATATGAATACTCTAGAGAATGTCAATATATTAAAAGGAGGTGGTTTTGGGTATCCTAAATTGCATTAAGGTCGACAAGTTCCAAGGGCCAGATGGGATCTATCCCAGGTTGCTGTGAGAGACAAGGGAAGAAATAGCTGGGGCATTAGCAAATATCTTCACATCCTCCTTGACCACAGGCGAGGTTCCAGAGGACTGGAGATTAGTCAATATGGTTCCCTTGTTTAAGAACGGAAGCAGGGATAATCCAGGAAATTATAAATCGGTGAGTCTGACATCTGTCGTGGGGAAGCTCTTGGAGAAGATACTGAGGGACAGGATATATGCACATTGGGAAGATTAGTTAGCATCAGGCAGCATGATTTTGTATGGGGAAGATCACATCTCACCAACCTGATCAATTTTTTTGTAGAGGTGACAAAGATAATTGAGGAGGGAAGAGCTGTGGATGTAGTTCATGTGGACTTTAGTAAGGCATTTGATAAAGTTCCACATGGCAGATTAGTTCAAAAGCTAAAATCACATGAGATTCAGGGTGGGCTGGCTAGATGGATACAAAACTGGACTGGTCATTGAATACAGAGGGTAGCGGTGGAAGGGTGTTTTTCCGAATAGAGACTGGTAACTAGTGGTGTTCCAAAGGGATCAGTTTTGGGTCCTGTGTTGTTTGTAGTATATATAAATGATCTGGAGGAAAATGTGGGTGATCTGATTAGTAAATTTGCAGATGATACAAAGATTTGTGGAGTTGCTGATAATGCTGATGATTGTGAAATGATACAACAGGATATAGGTAGATTGGTGACTTGGGCACAGAAATGGCAGATGGAGTTTAATCCAGACAAATGCAAGGTGATGCATTTTGAAGAATCAAATTTAGGTGTGAATTATATTGTAAATGGCAGAATTCTTAGGTACATTAAAATACAGACGGATCTAGGCGTGCAGGTCCACAGTTCCTTAAAAGTGGCAACAGACGTGGCCAAAGTGATTAAAAAGGCATATGGCAGGCTTGCTTCCATCAGCTGGGGCATGGAGGACAAGAGTTGGCAAACCATGTTGCAGCTATATAAAACCCTTGTTAGGCCGCATTTGGAGTACTGTGTGCAGGTTTGGTCGCTACATTACCAGAAGGACGTGGAAGCTTTGGAGAGAGTGCAGAGAAGGCTCACCAGGACTCTGTCCAGTCTCAAGGGCATTGGCTGTGAAGAAAGGTTAAAAAGACTAGGATTGTTTTCACTGGAAAGATGGCAGCTGAGAGGAGACCTGATACAGGTCTACAAAATTATGAGAGGCATAGATGGGCTGGTTAGTCAGAAGCTTTTTCCCAGGGTTGAAGTTTCAATTACAAGGGGACACAGGTTCAAGGTGAGAGGGAAAAAGTTTAAGGGAGATGTGCAAGGAAAGTTTTCACGGAGAATGGTAGGAGCCTGGAATGCACTGCCAGAGGAGGTGGTGGAAGCAGGCACGTTGGCAACATTTAACAGGTATCAGGATGGTAACATGAATGGGGAGGAAATAGAGGGATATGGATTGTTTAAAGGCAGAAGGTTTGTTTTCTACTTTAATCAAGACATGATGATCGGCACAGGCTTGGACGGCCAAAGGGCCCGTTCCTGTGCCATACTTCTCTTTTTGTTCTTTTTTTTTGAAAGTAGTAACACAAGTATATAAGGTAGTAAAGAAGGCATGTGGCAGGCTTGCCTTCATTGGTGGGGCATTGGGGATAAAAGTTGGCAAGTCACGTTGCAGCTGTATAAAACTTTAGTTAGGCCATATTTGGAGTATTGTGTATAGTTCTGGTCACCACACTATAGGAAGGATGTGGAGGCTTTGGAAACTGTGCAAAAGAAGCTTACTTGGATTAGAGTGTATTTGCTATAAAAGGATAGGTTGGACAAATTTTAATTGTTTTTACCAGAGTGTCAGACAGTGAAGGAAGACATGGTATACGTATGTAAAATTATGTGAGGCATGAATAGGCTATATGTCAGTGCCTTTTCTCCCCCCAGTGTGGAAATGTCAAATACAAGGAGGCATAGGTTTAAGGTGAGAGGGGAAAAGATTAAAGATGTGTGAAGCAAGGTTTTCTTTTTAAACCAGAGGATGGTAGGTGCCTGGAATATGCCACAGGGAGATGATAGCAGGTAACATTTAAGAGGTATTTAGACACATGAACAGGTAGTTAATGGCGATACAGACCACGGTGCAGGCAGATGGGATTAGTTTAGAATAGCATCATGTTTGTGCAGACACGGTGAGCCAAAAGGGCCTGTTCCTTTGCTGTACTGTTCTAAATTCTTACCATGGGAAAATAAATCTGGTACACCAGCAGCACATTGTCAGGGAATCGGTAGCAGGAGAAACCTCATTTAGACAAGATTAGCAGAATTACTGGTGAAATACTAAACAGAACTAAAATATAACTAAATTAGACATAAAGCAGGCTAGACAATTACAGAGGTGACTGGGGATGGCAAACTTAAAACATCGCAAAAGATGGACATGAATTCAGATGTACAGTAAAGAAGTTACGCTAGCTCGAGAGCCATGGAACATCTCTCAGATAACAGAACCTACTGACAAAAAGCTCTAAACTGAAGTGAATGGACAAAAACACTCATCTGAAAGAATTTCAGTTTTCTATATTTAAATCTCTTGCTGGAGCCGAGTGTTGGAAAGAAATCAGAAGCACTGGAGTCAGAATTCAGTTGAAGAAATACCCCAGAGAGAGTGCAGTGATGTCACTGCGTATCTGCCAGCACATGAAATAGTCAGTTGAGGAATCATGCAATGGCGTCACACACAAAACACAGACCATCTAGGTCTGCACAAGCCCATGATTACCAAACAATAAAGGATGTAGGGTACATAAACAGGAGCCTGGAAGAACACAGCAAGCCAGGCAGCATCTGGCAGATGTGAGAGTCCTTGAGAGGATGTAGTGGAGACTTATCAGCAGGGCAATTTTAGTTGCAAGGTTAGGTTAAGGAATCTGGGGCTGTTCTCCTTCAAGGAAAGGAGGTGGAGGGGCGATTTGATAGAGCTATGCAAATGCTTGAATTTTTTGGATGACATGCCTAAAGAAAAGTTGTTCTCAAAGCTGATCACAAAAGGATTTGGGAGACATCTCAAGGACTTTGGCAACAGTTTTGGTTCAACTTGGAGCTGAACTGTGGAGGCAAGACGACAGCAAGGCATCATTTGATCAAGCATGAAATCAAGGAGCCCTCACAAAATAAGATTCAATAAGAATCAAGGGAATCTCTGTGCTGTTTGGAGACATACCTAGCAAATAAGATAATCACAGTTGGAGGTCAGTAGTTTCAACTGCAGACATTTTCTAATTAACCTGTTTAGAGATGTTATTACTCACCTCTAGCACAGCTGGGACTTGAACCCAGGCCTCCGGGTTCAGACACATGGATACTACCACTGAACTATAAGGGCCTAGAAGTTCATTAGGGTAGACATTATGACACACCTCTGGAGTAGGTGAGACTTGAATCTAGGCCCTATGGCCTAGAATTAGAG